ATTAGGGACTACATTTGCTGTTGGTTGGAAAATTGCACTTAATAGAGTTCAATGTGCGGTTTTGAAAAAATTAATATTAAAAACAAAAAAAATATAATTGGAAACATTAATTGTGTTAGCAAATGAAAAGTTCGTATAAATTACTAGTGATTGAAAATGTGAAATAAGAGGTAATGAGAAGTTGAATGTGGACGAACTTGTACACTGCTTTGGTTAAAAATGTAAAGTAAACGTCCTTGGTAATAACGGTAGTAGAAATATTAGGACTAGAGAAAAGCAATTGATTATTTTTGCATTAGAGGGTCCGGCACTCGAAGTGCAACCAACTTCTGACCGCTCGCGCAACTCACGCATTAGCATCAGCTGTCTGTAAATTAGCTAAATGACTGTTCAGGGTATTGTAATGGATATCAGACGTTGCATTATATAGCTGGAAAATCACAACCAGCAACTGAAAAGAGTATAGTTTTCGTTTATCGTACCCAAAGTCATTGCAATGATACTTGTAACATCGCAAAACGTCATGGAGGCGGTCATCAAAAGACTGCAACTTGAGGGAAATCCCCGACGAAGTGCGAATGTAATGGTGAAAGAACTGAAACTATCTAACCGTACCATCCGTCGCATACTGAAAAATGAAGGTCAAAACTTATAAGATCCAAAAGGTGCATGATGTCATACCTAAGCAGCAACAAGTCAGACTTCAGAGTGTGAAGGAGTTACTTCGTATAGCCGAAGGTGGTTAATTTCCGTACATTGTGTTTTCTAACCGTATAATTTTTTCATTTGAGCAATCGGTAAACTCCCAAACGGAAAAGGTTTACTTGACCGACCGTTCTTAAAATATTTTGAGTCGTCGATTGACCACCAGGGGGCAGCTCCTGCCACAGATACTGGTTTGGGCCGCTATAACCAAACCGCATCAAGGTAAATGTGCAATATTGTCGGAAAAGTATTCTGAATGTTGCTGAATGTTGAAGCCGTGGGCAGCTAAACATTTCAGTGGCAGAACATGAGCGTTTCAACCAGACTCGGCACCGTCTGTTAAAGCTCGAGTGATCCAAGAATGGCTGAAAAATAACGCCTCGAATTTCATATTATTTTGAATAGCCTGCCATTCCCGTAGATGTCACTTTTGAAGCTGTCATTTTTTGACATTTGAAAAATTATTTTTACTGATGAGGTCCTATTCCACCTCGATGACGACATCAAAGAGCAAAACTGTCGCATGTGGAGCTCGGGAAAAGCAAGCTTTATTGTTGAAATGCTTATTCATCATCAACGTGGGACTGTTTGGTGCGATATGTGGTCGGGAGGGGTCATTAAACTTTAATGTTAAGATATTGCCACTGTAAAAATAGTTCATACATTTTTTTTTTATAAAATAAATACTAATTTGCCTGGATTTAATTTATTTCGACTATTTAATATTTTCTAAATAAAATTTTGGGTGAAACTTCTTTGTTTTCCATATCATGGTCTACGCTAGTTTTTATATATATACGTAATTAGGGTTTTCATAGCGATTATCTGTTGGCAAGCGATTATTTTCCAACAATTGAAGGGACCTACAATTTATACTAAGCCGCCTCCGAACGGCTGATGAAATACACTCGGAGGGGTTGACATTCCCTGCCGAGGGGCGACCAAAATTAGAAAACTTAACTTACGGTCTAATTTAAAATAATTTTCTATAACTTTTGGATGTTCCATGATATCAGGATTTAAACCGAGCCAAACCTTTCGAAGTGCAGTACACAATACTAGCCACTCAGCCACCGCAGCCGCCAGGGTAGTATATTTAGGTTTGCAATACAAACGAGCTGTATTTCTACACGGTTTGTCTTTAGTCTGAAGAACATTGATGTTCTTTTTGCAAATGCAAATAGTCGTTTGGGTCCTTTATTCACTGCAAAGCTTTTCTGTGCTCAAATAGCCTAACCTTTGTCTGGCAAATGGACATTTATATGTGAGTGCTTCACTCTCCCCACACATTGCATATATTACCTGCAAGTGTTGTACTACACCAAACCTGCTTGAAAGACATACGAAGCAGCCTAAACTCTGGCTCCTTTTTCAGGTTATAGACAGCGAAAGTTCCTGCTATGGACTAAAATATATTTGAAAGATAAATTTCTTGTAATTTTTTGTGTTCAAATCGTATGCATGGTTTAAATTTCAAGGCTGGAAGTAAACATTCAGTATTTGGAATGCATGAGTTTATAGCAGTGTTTTTGCAACACTGTGGCTTAGAAAATGCTTAGAGAGGCAGGTTAGCAAATCTACATTTACATACATAAAATCAAATTGAAATGCGAGAAAAATGGCGAAATGTGAAAGTTCGAGCTTTTGAACAGCTTGTCGGACAGTAGAACAAAAAAGGTTTCCATTTTAAAATCAAAAATGCAGATTAAATCCATGATGAAATAATAAACAGGCGAAGTAAGTAGAGTAGAAAGAGACTTTGACACTGCCTTAGCTCAATGTTGTATTTTCGAATTCGAAAAGAGAGGCGAAGAAAGAAACAAAGAAATTAGGAATTTCAGGGAAATTTATATATAACAAATATCGAAGACAATAAATTATAAAATATAGAGTTTATATATATATATATATAGTATATATATATATATATATAGGTAAACAAACATTATTTGTATAATTGGCGCTTTATAACTGCTGCAATGTTTTTCAGCCAAGCTCTTCATCATATATATGATGTGCGTCTTGATATTTTCCCATCAAATGTAGGGACCTAGACTTAATTCTAAACTGCCTCGGAAACATCTCACCAATTTTTATGAGAAGCCTTTATTTCATGTCACAAACACAATTAAAGGAGTGAGATTTCTAGCCGAATGACGAACGCAAATAGAAAAAATTAAGATAATTTTTGTATTAGGATTTTCTATAATTTTGAATATTGGTCGGGCCAGCACTAAAACCCAGTGACCTTTACACTAAACAGCTACAGATTTCTTCACCAGCTGCTATAGATTCGTTTTTGATGCATAAAAAAGGCTTGAAGGAATCAAAGCTGGTGGAATGGGTATTAAAATTATTGCTCAAACAATGGTTTTGCACGAACAAAATAAAAGGGATCTAGATGATCTTAAAAGGATAATAACACCTCTTATCAATTCAGTTTAAAATAATCTTCGAACATCGCAGATTAAGGAGTCGTAAATCACTTTTATTAAGACGAAGTATCGATAGTAAGAATTGCCTTTATTAAAATTCCAATTTATCTCTATAAAATTAATAGTCTGGATTCCATATAACTGGATCTAATTTGGTAATAAATGGGTGATTTAAGTCTTTAGCCCAATATTTAATGAAAGCTGAGAGTTCATATAAAAAGGTTTTTATGGTACATTTAAGACATTTTAAATTAACCTTTATTACATAGTTTTTATAAAGAGAATTGTAAAATATTTCGCATGTGCAAAATATATTAACGCAATGCACAGCTCCAGCGAAGATATATTTTTTGAAAACGTACATAAATCCAATATTTGAAATTGCCCCTTTGCGTTTGGATGCAACACTGGCAAATAATGAATTAAGTACAAATATATTTATTGTAAATTTATATTATAAGAATTTAGATTTTTATCAAAAACATTCTTCACATTTTGCCACAACAAACAATGACTATAATTGAATTTATAATGGAAATCTTTTCAATGATGAAAAACTTTAAGTTCATCCTTTTTTCTTCGATTTTTATTAATAATACATGTGTTTAAAAAGTATCGCGAATTTTGGATTTTGGCGGGTTACGTATAATCGAATTTTTGATTTTTTTATGGTGTTATGTTGGTACTCATGTCTGTCACTTATGCCGACAAGCTCGGCCATTTTGAATGCATTCCGAATGTTGACTGTGGCATACGGAGAAGCTACCTTGGACCGAAGCAACATTTATCGGTGGTACTAAATGTTCTAAGAAGGCCGAGAAAAAGTGAACGACGAAGAGAGTGCCGGACGCCCGAGCACTTCAACAACAGACGAAAAAATTAAAGAAGTGGAGAAAATGGTATTGCTATAGGGTAGAACGGTCAATAAGGAATATTACCTGCGTGTTATGCGCAATTTGCATGAAGCAATCTGCTAGAAATGCCCGGGTTTGTGGAAGAACATAAATTGGCTTTTGCACCACGATAACGCCCCTGCTCGCACATCGTTGCTTGTGGGCGACTTTTTGGTCAAAAACAACACACTAACGATGTCGCAGCCACCGCATTTTCCAAATCTGGCCCCCTGTGACTTTTTCTTGTTCCCTAAACTGAAGAGGCCTATGAAAGGATGACGTTACACTACGATTGACGAGATAAAGACGGCATCGAAGGAGGAGCTGAACAAGATAAAAACAAAATGATTTTTTGAAGTGCTTCGAAGATAGGAAAAACCGTTGACACAAGTGTATAATATCTCATGGGGATTACTTTGAAGGGGACAAAATAGATATTCATGAATAAATAAATAATTTTTGAAAAAAACACAAAATTCGCGATATTTTTTGAACACATCTCGTATAATTAAATATTGGAACATAATTCTATAAAAGCAACAATTTTTTGCAAAGGCAGCGTGTGGGAGAGGGACAATTGCTTACTTACTTCTCCCGTATATTATATTACTTCTTCATGGATTAAATATTTTCATCATTTCAAAACATTCAAAACGGATTAATATATTTGGCCTGCTCGAAAATGTTTGAAAAAAATCTGAAACGAAATTTAAAAATCTTCTCTATTTACGGTTTAACGAAGCCGGCAAGTCAAGTTTCTTCAGAAAAATTGCTTCCCCTATCATCTTCAATGTTCAAAGTTATTCATTGAGCATATATTGAGAACTCAATTGAATTGTTTGATAAATTTTATTACATTACAATCAACCATTGTATTAATAAAACTATAATATTGGCAAAATACGTATGCATGTATGTACATATATCATTGTAGTAAGTGCTTGTGGAATAAATTCAAAAAAAATATCTTACAATAAAAATCTAGTATTCAATGTTATAACGGTTACTTTTCTATTTTCCATCAAATCGTTCTTAATCATATTCTGCGCCAATGGTTAGACTAACCTCTCCAGGCTGCACGAATGTCTGATGATACCATTTATTTGTGTCCAGAACAACTGCAACGATGTTGTTGCAATAATTAAATTATTATTTACTATTAAACCTCTTACTTACTTATATCGCCCTTCCGTACAATCGTATCAAAGCGCTTGCATTGGAAATAACATTCTGGTGGTGGTGCGAGTAGCCAACGTTTACTGCCCGACAATTGCGCTTGCCACGAGGGCAAACGGACGTTGTCAATCTGCAGCGAAATATCTCATTATTATTTTTTTTAAGAGTCCTTTGGAAGTAATGCATTTCAGATTAAATCCTCTAAGGTACGAGGGTTACTTCTTATATTTCGGGATTTGGTAACCCTACTGCTAAAATCTGGCAACTTACAACTTTGAAATGGTTTTTTCTTTATTAAGAAAAGCTGGCTATGGTGCAACCGTACTAGTAGATCAACGCAGAACAGTATCTCTGTGGAATACAGGTTTAAAAATTCTTCCGCGGTAAGCCATCACTGTTGTAAGAGGTAACTAAAATTCACAAGTTCCCGCGACAGTCAGGTCATAATGCCGGAACGACACGGATTTTTATTTGGCCAAGGACTGCCATGCGTGAAACATTCTCCAAAGACTAGTGTGGTACATATTTGTTCGGAGCCACATAACCATTTGTTTGCTCGTTGCCTTTTAAGATATCAGGGAAACTAACTGCCAAGACGGATCGCTCTTCACTATACCAATGCGAGCTCTCACATCACTGAAACAACTGCGTTTTTGAGCAGTCAAAACTCTGATTTGGTCGACTATTAGTACTGACTTGGGGTTGAAAGACTTCTTTGATTTCCGCATAAAATATAAAGTGAGAGACACGGTTAATGCATTCAGAACACCTCAATCAGAGGGGCAAAAGTGCTTCGACAATTGGTTCAAAAGCGTGCAAAAGTGTCCACCAAGAAATTCAGAAAAACAATAAAGCAATTTTCGATAATTAATATTATTTTTTGCACCCTAACCACGAAATGTAAAAAGCAACCCTCATTTTTCTGAGGCATCCCTATTTTAAAAGTAATAAAACGTGAAACTTTTTTTTTGTAGAGAAAATGCAATTGCTTATTAAATTACCACATCAATGCATTCTTCGGTACTTCGCTGCCATAACCGCTTCAAGTACTTACATGCATTTGTGCACCCAAACCCGCTGTTCCGATGAAAAACCAATCTACGGCATTATTCTCAGAAGTGGGCGGTAAAAAGTAGGGACGTCCATAATGTTTGCGAAACTCTTCAGCTGTCTCCGGATTGCAATTACTCCAACCGAAGTACCATGGCTGGCTGCCGGGTTGATATTCCACTCGCTCTTTAGGCATTTCCAATGCTTTCAGAAGATTTTTAAAACCCGTTTTGTATGGCAGAAATTGGCAATCGAGTATTTTTTGTTTACGTTTTGCATTTGTGTAAACATCACGGAAATACCAGTAATTGAATTTCTGCAAAAGAAAAGTGGAATGTTTTCAGTAAAATTCATCGAGATATTAACAAATTTGAACCTGACTGTAAGTAAGGTGGAAAAAGGTGCGTTTCAGAATTAAAAGCCACCAGCTTTTCTTTGAATATTTTAATCAATAATTTTAGCAGTAAATTAGTATTTTTTGATTGATTTAGGTTTACAAGATCGTTTACTATTTGTCTAAATTGATATGGGCAAGACTTTTTCTTTTGAGATATGGGCTTCAGATCGCTTCAGTGGTTCGATTTTGTGTAATATTTGGAACCTACGCACTCATTCTTCGTGACCATTTCGTTTAAAATCCTACGAATATCGTTATCCAACTACCATATTCGCCGTACTTAGCACCGAGTGACTTCTGGCTCTTCCAAAAACTCAAGTGACCACTTCGAGGACACCGTTTTAAGAAAGTGTCGGGAGTGGTTTCAACGTTTTCAAAATGGTGATTTCGATGTCGAAGACAAACATGGTGGTGGAAGAGAAATTTGGGGGGATCAGCTCGGTATGATTTACTACGTGCTGTTAAAACCGGGTGAAACCATCACAGGAGATCGCTACCGAACGCGGCCACAATATCAAGAGCGACATGACAAAGTCATCCTCCAACACGACAATGCTCGGCCTCACGTCGCAAAAGAGGTCAAAAAGAACCTGGAAACGTTCAAATGAGAAGTCTTGCCCCACCCGCCGTATTCACCAGATGTCGCCCCTTCTGACTTCCACATATTCCGTTCGATGGCACACGGCCTGGCAGATCAACATTTTCAATCCTTCGAAGAAAAGGGATTGCTTCATGGATAGCGTCAAAAGAGGACTCTGTTTTTCGAGCCGGGTTCCGAAAATTGCTGTAAAGAAAGGGAGAAAGTTGTCGTTGGCGAAGGAATAACTTTGAATAATATATATGTAAGCACTTTTTCGCAATAAAACTTTTAATTTTGGAAAAAAACGGCGGAAGCAAAGTTGTACACCTGATAGCATATAAGTTATAATATGTATAAACTTAATTATTATTGTTCGAACCAACTTAAAATTTCAAGCCGATGAAGTGGCGGGCAAGCTCTAGTTATCTAATAGAGAGTTTTTTTTGAACAAAAACGTTTTTTGACTGTTTTAAAATGATAAAATTCAAATTAACTTAGTAAACATTTCGTGGGTCATTTCGTTATGGCTTAATTCTCACTACTAACCAGTATATGTTCGATTAGCTCATGCCAGGCAAAACCATATTTTTTATCGATTCAGTCAATTTCTTTAATAGACTTACATCCAGGTAAAACCATTTAATAGCAATTGCAGCCTTAGGCTCATCTCACGATCATTTGAATAAACTCTTCTCACTAATATGCACCCATTCATTCTCTATGGGATTTCAATAAGGCGGTTTCTATAAAGAAATCAGTCGAAGATTTTCCGTTTCTTCATTTACATGAATGCCACCATCATGCTGTTGGAAAATTAGTGACATCTCTCGGGAAGCTTCAACTAAAAGAAAGTGATTGTTTCCCAACAATTGAATGCAGTCACCGCTATTTATTCTAGAAGATATGTGATGTGATTTGAGCTTAGTCTTTGATATGGAGGTCCGCTACACTGTTATAATAATTCCTCTGAAATTGCGTTTAGAAAGGCAAAGTAGGCACTTTCGCGAAGTTCCCGAATAAAAAATTTTCCTTTTTTTTGTTAACTTTTACAGCAAGTTAAAAGTTATCGGATCCCGAAAGGCTTTAAGCATTAGAATTTCTTGAGTTATTTAAGCAATTTGGCACCACGCACCGAGTTCTCGCAAATTTTTCGCAACTTCAGATATTGCTGGTCTAGAATGTAAATATGGCAATATTTTGCCACGTTATTTTGTCATTTTGCTGTGAAATCGCTTAACCGCTGAAAAAATTTTAGAACCGTCGATTTCTTTCCGTTTATTTTTATATTTAAGTTGCTCCACGTAGTGGTAGACTAATTGCCGCAAATTTCTCGAAAATGATGGAAACCGTCGAGTCTGACAGTCATGCGAACAACGTTTCAATTGCTCAGGAGCTAAAATTTGTACAAAAGTCAGTTTGGAACTACTTGAAACCGGCACATGAATTAACGTGAAAAAATCTCATGCTCCAAATTTCCATCTGTGAAAATAGTCGTGGGTGTAGGTTAGTAATCCGAAATCCAACTCGCCAGAAAAAGAATTACACTAATTTTGCTTTAATAGGTGTTTAAAGGTTTCCTATGTGAGAGGCATAATGACAATACCTCCAAATTGGCAAAAAGTTTTTGAGCAGACATAAATCGGATAATATATAATTATGTAAACAAAATTGACACTTTGTTACCTCTAAAGCGATATGCGATCGGAAACGAATAATGGATTACTTTTTAATAATTTAATACTAAAATTCCGGGCACGATTAGAGAGTCGATTTAGACATGTCTGTCTGTCCGTTCGTCAGCCTCTCGATCCGAGTATACGAGAACTGAAGTACGGATTGAGATATTTTAAGGAAACATTATGCTTTTTTCTGTATTCCTCGAATGTAGCTTTCAAACACAGATAAAGACGACATGGTCGATAAAATTTGATATTTAAAATTCCCATTTCGTAGCAGAAACACGAATTGAACATGGGCTTGCCAACACTTATACCATTGTCCCATATATATATTTTGCTTTTTACGCCAAAGCCCTGTTTAAACCAAGTTGAACTCAAGTAAAAAATGCTGACGTACATATGAAGGCCCACAAAGAAAGACTTTTTTTGACCGATCCGTTGACTTCGAATCTAATAATTAAGGATTACTCCAGAAAAGTTGAAATTATGATAAGGTTATAGTAAATGCCAAACATCTGTCTAAATCATGGTTCCACACACAAGTGTACATTCCATATAACTGAACTTCAGTAGTAATATAAACATTCAGCTCCAGTGTGGTAACTCTCACCCCTAATACTCCTAAACATTTATAGGCCTATTCTCACTGTTACCGGTAGGGTAAATTTGGTTACTTTTCTTTAACACCCGAAATTGAATTTGGCTTTCTGGCGAACCGTTTACAATGTTTGAAAAAAATTTGGCGGCACAAATGTCAAATTACATTTGCCAGTTGATAAAGTAAATAGAAAAATATTCACATCGAAATGAAAGACGCTGCACAAAAATATTAAAAATTTTTATTAATTTGTTTATTGAATCTTAAATATTTGAACCTAATTATGGAAAATATGCCTGGACAATAAAAAAAGCTGAATGAAAAGGTTTTCTTACTAATTAAAAGGTCTATTTTTTGTCTCGAATACTTATTAAAATACGCCTTTTTGCACTTTTTTTTTCATCCACAAGCCTAAAATATGCCTACCCATTTTGATTTTTATTTTTTTCTCAAACTAACAACACAAAATCAAATAGCATATATTTTTGTTACCTCCTATTTCGCTGGTAACAAAATTTAAAGGGTAACAGTGAACTCAGAACACGAAATAGTAACAAAATTTACTGAATGGTATATTTTAATACAAAAGCAAATTTTGTTACCTCGACAGAATAGGCCTGTTAAAGGTAGCTTTTTTGTTTTTGTTTTGCAAACTTACCGTTGTTGCTGTCCAGTTCTTCGTTGCATCCTCCACAATTACCGGTCCGCCAGTGTAGGCATATCTCGATGCAAAATCCTCACTCGTTATGCCACGTAAACGTATTGCACTTTCTATGTTCTTACAAAAGGCGCACTCTTCAGGCGGCCGAAATACATAGCGAAGCGTGCGTGGTAACTCCAAGAGACAGCGCTGAAAAAAGAAAAGAAAACATCGTAGAAAGGTTTCGATTATAGAAGAAATAGATAAATAATTCAGAGAACTCTACTTTTATTTACTTAAATGATGGACTTAGTTACCCCAAGTGGTGATATATGCGTCATGTAGAAGACAGTTTCATGAGAACAAACAGCGTGCAAATTGGGTTCGAATGAGAAAAATAGGCATGAAACTTTAAATAAAGGGACTCCCTTACAATTGCTGCAACCGATTTCCCCTAAAAATTATTTTAATCAAGCTTAATTGGAAATTGGGTATTAAAATCAGTCGATAATAGCCAGAATTTGAGGCGCTTAAAATCACATTAGTCGATCTTTCTAGAGCGTATGATTTTTGGAGACCTATTTTATGGGAAACACCATTAAAGTCTTCTATTGGCAGCTTTCAAACGACACGAGCATCGGAATTTCCAGGCAATCTAGTATATTTTAGGCGGTTGTCATTGTGATTTTAGCATTTATAGCCTCAGAACTTAGTAGTGGGATATTTTCTTTGATGTCTTTGCAGCAAGATTTGTGCTTACAGAAGACGTAGACTAAAAACGATGGCAGGCTATTTACATATGTACCATCGTTGAAATCCTCAGCTGCTGGCTATCAATTCATACGAACCATAGCTTCCGAGCTCATTTAATGTACATTATTTGGCCGCTAATGATAATGATTAGAGTTAGACTAACCGCTTTTTAGTGTGAACTGTGTGTGGGTACTTGTTGCATATGCCCGCACTATCCTTTGAATCAAGTTGTCATCTCTGTTTTATTAGCGGTGGAGAACATACGACTCAAACTTTCAGACATCCTGAGCGTATTTTCATTGAGGTAGCGATGCAATCAAACTTTTGTGAAGTGAAACAAATAAGACAATTCACTATCGGCTCATACTCGTATAGTTAAGCCGTTTGCGACTTTAAGGTATTGCCTATTCGAACTCATTATAAACCCATCATTGCTTCCTGTTCGTACACAAACTGCCTGCTCTTGAATGAGAAGGTATTACGCAGAGATAAAGAGCAGGTTTGCGGTAATACGTATACAACCATTCTGTTTCGGAGAGAGGTGAATTTGTTTAAGTAGCCTGGCCCGAAACTTTGCTTGAGCTTACCATTATCATATATTTAATGAATGAAAATGTCCAAATTAAAGTAAATCTCCGTGCATTCGATGCATGTTTCATTCGAAATAAGTCCCATTCCCACAAACTCTCTACATTTTAATTACCTTCGAGGATAATTCATTGCAGTAGTAATTATATCCATAAGCGAGCACCGCAAATAACAAACAAAATTTCAAAAACTTCCAATTTTTATTTGCATTTTCACTTTCATTTTCACTCAAAAATTTCTGCAGGCACGCAAAAGCTTTCGGCTCCACACATTTGCTCCTGCATTTCGCTAATAATGCTTGAAACTTCACTTTTGCTTCAATTTTGGCACAGGACATAATTATTGATAGCGAGAGCAGAAGTAGCACTGCACTCAGCCCAAATGTGAGATACAACCGAAGCGCTACAAGACCGCAAGATGACTGTGATCCAGATGATGGTATTTTCATGCAATTGTACTTTCTTTCTACGTGTTTATGTATCTGTGTGTATGTGTGCATTTATAGATATTTTCGCCTTAACGGTATTTATCCTTTGAAATGGCAATAATGTGATTATCAGTTTCCTTTCATATGGTTTTTCTGACGCACAACATATTGACGCCCCACAATAAGTGCTTGGCATGGGGTGTTGTATGTGTGTGGGTGAGTGGGTGTGAGGGTGGTTGGGGTGCTTGGGTGGCTTGAGTGGCTAGATCTTGTTATTAACACATCCATATACGGATATATATATGTATTTCTTAATGTAATGTTTTATTGTTTGAGTCTGTGCAATGAGCGTACTGACGTCGTAGACATCGAACTCGCCTATTCCTTTGTCGCATGTGACGTTGTAATGCGACAGCGTGTGGCGGCAAACGATAAGCGCGCAACAAGTTGATTGGATAATAAAGAATGAGAGACAAAGTGGGTTACTAAAGTGTGTGACAAAATGCAATTATTTGTCAATTTGTTTAGCTGTGAGGCGTTGAAGTATTTTTTTGTTGCTATTGTTGTTGTTGTTGCTGTTGCTGTTGTTGTTTTCGTTGTCGTGAATAGTTGAATTGTGTTTAGGAAGTTGCGCGCAAATTGATTAAAGTCGTAATTGTGTATTGTTGCCCCTTGGCGGGCTTTTGTATTTCGCTTACAAGTATCTATACAAACATACATACATATTTATGAATGAAAAACATTTAATTGTGTTATTAATACTCTGTTTATATGTTTATATAATTTTTCTCGCAGAAATCCCTACACATCAGACAGTACATGCATTACTTATGATGCAGTGAATGCCGCCTATTTGGATGCGAGGAAGCGAATACGTGAGTACAGAAATGAATAATTAATATTTGCGGATAGGAGAAGGGTCATCAGTTTGGGTCCTAGATGTAACAGAGTTAAAAAATTAAGTAAAACAAAAATGGCAAAAATACAATACAAACTTAAATATTTTTCTAAGCAAAAGGCCACTTTGTTGCCTAGTATAACTGTACTGTCCTATAAAGGGTGTTCTTATAGGCTTGCTGGTTTCAAGAAGAAAAAAAGGCATATAATTTAATTTTATGGCCCAGATTTTAGCTTAATTATAAAAATTAGTGTTTTAAAGATTATTTCGCGTCTGGCTTGAAAAAACTCCATCCGAGAGGCCCAATCTCTACCATTTTTTGCGTCGATTGGGACCATATGTCAATAATAACGCACCGCATATTTTCTTCCAAGATGTAAATCGGCTGGGGCTTAGCTACGTAGACAAGCGACTTCACATAACGCCAAAATAGTACAGCGGTTTTAAATTGTACGAGCCTGGAGATCATGCCACAGGCCCACGATGCGAGAGAATACGCCCCTTCCTATACAAAACATTGTACGGAACGTAGCGCTATCTATTTACAACCAAAAGTTGTTCCCCATAACACCCTTCGACAGGGTTCATCTTCCATATAGTGTAAGGGGACTGCTAAGATTTTTCCGCGGCATAGCGAATGAACTCCACAGTAGTAATAGCGTCTTTGCTACTCACTATATGGCATCTTTCAAGATTTGCATTATCCACTGCTTTGATACTTCATTTAGTTTTTTGTACTGCGAAGCTCCTAGATTTTTTAATCCAATCTTGGGTAAGGTCGGACAGATGCAGATAAGGGATCATCAGCGTCGCACTCATGCACTACATGTGTCACAATTACTGTAACTAATGCCCATTCTGCTCGGTAGTGAACTGTAAAAAAACCAAAAACCCTGCTACAGTCCTTCCAAGACTGGGTGAGCAAAACAATGTGAGATAATCCTGGTCACTAGCTATTCCACCAGCTTCTCTAAAAGACCTCTGCCACGAAAGTATTGTAGTACTTCGAAAACATGAAGGGTCTGAAATTTAGCACAGTACATTAGGATCCGGCATATACTCCATCCACCATTTGTGGTCCGTAGAGATGTTCCAAGTTTCACGCAGGTGTTATGCTCCTGCACCATCCGCTTTCTTCTAAACTAGTTTGAAACCTTCTTTCGAAGATAAAGCGTGAGGGTATGATGACAAGATTGGATTAACCATTGTTGTGTATCACCAGCGCATTAGGCCCCACATAGAATTTATCATTGTCTTACATGCGGGGAAGATACTACTGGCCTTTTTCACTCATTGCTCTAGGTGTAGCGTCCAGATAAACTTGCTGTGCGAAATTACTCCTAAGCGCTTCATATGCGTTTGAATTGTTTGGTTAAGTCTCGCGAGCTTCCACGCAAGGATCTTATTCTTCTTATCAGCAATTATTGTTTCCAGGAACATGGCCGTCAGCAAATTTATCATAAGCTCCCTTGCCACGAGTGAGCACAAGAGAGGTGACAGAACATCTCCCCGAGTGAGTCATACACATAATAATTTGAGCCTTCAGGTTGCTCCCCTAAGACCAAACGCTCAATTCGGCCCTCTACTGCCAGCAACTGGACCGCTTGAAGGCAGCACTCATCCAGAAGAGGCCATTTTTGATCAACGGAGTCAGAATAATGTTCCATCAAGACAACGCCAGGCCATACACGTGTTTGATGACGCGCCAGAAGCTCCAGAAGCTCGCATGAGAGGTCCTAATGCATCCATCTTATAGTCCGTTCCTGGCACCAAGTGATTACCATACTTTTCTGTCTATAACGAACGCGCTTAATGGTGAGAAGTTGTCCTCAAGAGAGACCTGTTAAAATTGCGTCTCCGATTTTTTAGGCAATAGGAACGCAGCCGTCTACGATTGGGGTATAATGAAGTTGGCATCTCGTTGGCAACAAGTTTACAAAGAAAGCGACGCTTATTTGACCTAAATTGGGCAAGTGTAGAATACACAAAGTTGTCATATTTTGAAAAATCAATAAAAGACCGAACGAACTTTTTACTTGACCTAATGGTTAGAATTTTTTTATTTTTTTTTGGCATTTTGATGGTAATGTCATTAAGTAACTCTCTTAGAAATCAATTGGGAAAAAGTTGACTTAATCACATGGTTCGAACTCTTGATTATATAAGGTTAATATAAGTACCTCCAATCAAACTATTTGACATAATCGATGTGTGTCTGGCGTTGCCCAGATGAAACACAATTCCCTTTTGATTGGCCTAAGTTGTTAAGCCATTGTTTCCTTCAGACGAAATTGGGTCGATTTGATACGATTCAGCAGTAATTACCAGTAGAAAATTCGGTCCACGAAGTTTTTTCTCGTTAACTCAGTTGGCATCCATATATTGAGCTTTTTTTCATATTCAGTCTCCTTTAAGTGGTTCCAAACTGACTCTACGATTTCCATTGCTTAATTGACATTTTCGACAATTGGCCTTCTGTACCGTAGAGCATCTTTTATATCAAAATTACCGGAACGAAATCGACGAAACTAAAATTGTGCATGATTGACTGTTACAGTATCTGCACTAAAAACATATTGTCTGACTTGAGTTTTTGCCTTTATCGAAGAAAAGGAAGGGGTCAAGTGATCAATACTTAGTTTTAGTATACCCAATACCTTTATTTTTTTTTGTTTACAAATTTGAGCAGCTAAGTAGCACAACTAGTTTTTTGCTAATTTAAAAATGTTTATATCAAAAAAAAAAAAACGTCTTAAGGATACATCTCAGTACCTGTTGCATTTTAATTTTAGTCCATTTTAAAAAATTTTTGTCTTTCATTGTGAGAAATATTTATTTTCATGATGAAAATCCCAAAACAAATTTTTGAAGAAAATTAATTAAATTAAATAATTAAGTGACTGAGACGAAGTAGTCTGAAATTAATTCAAAATATATGTGACTGTACTTGTTAATATGCCTGCTCCAGATATTGATCAAATCAACTCAAAGTAATTCATAATCGTGGTCTTAGTCTAAAACTCTCAGAGAGGGAAAATTTAACTTTCAGGATAAGGAAATTTCTGAAACTAAAATAAATATTTGAATTTATATTTTCTATTTACTCTGAGTATAAAATTCAAAGTTCAAATTTTGTTTAACAAAAATATATTTTTTTGAATTTAAGATGTGGCGCAGCCGAAAGGAGAATGGAAAACGGAGGAATTGGCGACTGTGGGTGAACTGCTGCTGGATATTTCGATACAGCTGGCGAGAACGTAAGTTTAATGATCTGAAGAAAATTTATTTAGTTTATGTAATAAAAAAACATAAATAAAAATTTCAACCGCTTAAATCCGTCTCAAATATTTTGATTTTGTGGAACCTACAAGCTTTGACTTTTTGATTTTCGAAACTTTTAACTTTTTTACAGGTGTTTCTCCATTCAATTAAACTCAATTTAATTAAGTACGCAGATATTTGTGAAAAAATCAGTCCGTGGACGTGGACGTGGACGACTAACAATAGTTTGATTTATAAAAGCAAGAGTAATTTTTATTCCTCCTCACAAATTTATTCTTCAGTTTTTTAATTTTAAATTCTAAGAATGTCAGTATGGACTGCAGGGGAACCTTCCTTGCCAATGCACGATTTTCATATAAAAAATCAACTGTGATTAATCTCTTCCATCACATATGTTTAGAAAATAAATAAACAACAATCTCAATCAACCAAGAGTAGGGTAGTATAGAAAGTATTGAGGGTGATCTTTAGAGATCTCAAAAATTTGCAGTCAGGCGGAATTCCTTGTTTTTTCTTAGGGCGTATCTCAAATAACCTTTACTAAAACCAAGAGTTGTGAGTTTGTTAGTAAACGAAGACCATCTGATCTTTCGAAATTCTTACCGATTCAAGAGAGGCTTATAATTGTTTTCATACTTTCTTTAGTTCAGCGTTTGAACCTTTGATGTTGGATTTTTCAATTCTCGAGTAGGCCACGCGTGGCCGGTGGTTTTCATTGCTGTTTAGTACCCTAATAAACTTTACGAAAAACCAGTTATCAAATTAGTCAATGGAGAAATAGAGAGATAGATAGATTTGCAATGGTCCGATTCTTTACATTCTTTCAACCAGCTCTAGGCCCCCATCAAACTTAGCAGTCTAGACGGGTTGATTGATTTGATGTGATTCGTTACTCAGACTGAATGACTCCTAGGATGACTCTCTCTTCTTCTTGCGACATTTTCTTATTCGAAAAGAATGTGTTACGGTGTTTCTTATAATAGCTCACAGAAGCGACAAGTTCATCAGAACTAATTCCGACCCTTGTAGGAGCGACTGATTTTCCTTCAATACCTTTATGTCTCGGAATCAGAACTTTGTTCTGTTCGCTCTCTTGGAGAAATAACTAATCTAAATCACGGGTGACATTCGTCGTTTTAAGTTGGTCGTAATAACGTTTTAGTTCCATGTTGCTTCGATCGAACCCTGAAGTAGTTCATTGCTTACTTCCTCATGGGATTTTCACCTTTGAAAGACCACTGGAAATGTAGAGAAGGTGTTGAAACAATTACTAGATACAAAGGACCAATATCCTTAGAGCAAAACACAAGCACTGAAAGATGTCTGTGTTCAGATTCCGAACTTCATTAAATTTTGTCTTTAATATAAAAATTCAAAATGGACATTGTATGTGAAGAACTACATCAATCGAATTACCGCCTCGCGAGCTTCAACCTGTTTGAGATAATTTTCGACCATTGTTTGGTACAAGAGTTAAACATGGACTTTCGCGTAGCCCCGGAAAAAAGGTCCGAAAGATTTCACGCCTATCCAAACTCTTGGGAACGTCGAGAAACATGGACATTTCGGCTTCGGTCTTCGGCTACACTTTCATTTGCAGCAGCGATCTTTGAAGTAAAACGATCAAACCGATGATGCACAGGCCTAACAATATCTGGTACCGATATAAAAGGTTACCCATTGGTAGAGTAGTTGAAGGATTATATGCATCATAATCTCTTCTTAAAGCACGAAACGTGGCCACGCTTTAGTTACCATTCCTTAGCATGTTTTATCAATTCCAATGAGCAATCCATTTTCATAAATGCCTGAATTTTGACTAAGAAAAACAGGTTTTGGTTGACAGTTAAGTTTGACGGATGTGAAAATACAACCCTGTGCCATGGCGGGTCAACGCTTGCCGACGTCAGGCAACAAGGCAACTGCTGGACGAATATATTAGATATAATTTGCAAAAGGGTAGAAATAAAACGTTTATTTATTAACCAATGTCTGAATTATTTATGCATTCTTTAATTTCTGACCGATAACGGTATTGAAAATTTTGCTCATTCCCATTTTCTAAGAATCAAATGAAATTTTCGAAGCCGAAAATGAGTCGTGCGATTGTCGGTCATTAAGAGTGGACATTAATTTTGTGTTTAATTATTTGAGCTATTTGTTGTTGTATTGATTTCTTGCCACAACCATATAAGTCAACTGTTAATTGCATATTTTATACTTAACGGTCACTTGCCGGCAACACTTCCAAGTGGGTTAATTTGATAATTTTGCAATATTCGCATGCGAAAATCCGGTTTGGGCGCGAGTGTTTGTACGAACGGAAGAGCAATTTGGTACGATACCGTTATAATCAGTCACCATATAAGTTTTAAGAGGGGAAATTGCAAATAAATACTTTTTAGCAGTAATGAAATTGAACAAATGGTGCAAATTGACTAAGCTTCGATATGTGAGTTGATTGAAGAATGTTGGCATTTTGGCGGAGAACTCATTCGTTTGAGAGAATACTCGTATGTATGCATGCAGCGGTCGGCTCTCGTGTGGCACGTTGTGCTGCTGTTGTTATGGCAGACTTGAAGTCAGATGTGACAAATTGTCGTCGCGCAATGACACTATGGGCAACCCCCTTAGTTACACACGATTGGTACATATATGCGCATATATGTATGTAAGCATATTTCACATAGTTCTGTGTAGGTTTACGCCACCACCACTACGAGTTAATTAGTTGTTCTGAAATTGTTGTTATTGTTGGCATCATATGACTTTACCACCATTTTTGGGATGTGTTGACAAAGTCACGTTACACTTTTCACACACTTAAATATAAGTACGAGTATTAAACAACCATTTGCAATAGTTTTTTACTAATAAATTTCTATTTTTTTCATCACAGCTACGGCCTCGCATACGAAGAGATCGAAAAGGGTCTGCCCACAATTGACACATCGAAAACTCTGATACGAGAGGTGTGTCCGCCATTCTTTGCGGGTGTTGAGTGCCGCCCTGGCAAGTATCGACGCTTCGATGGCCTTTGCAACAACATCGATCATCCCACATGGGGTGCCACAATGTCGCCATTCCAACGTCTTATTGGCCCACTCTATGCGGATGGCATCAATGCGCCACGCATCTCGGTCACCGGTCATGACTTGCCCATTTCCCGTATTGTCTCACGTACCATGCATCCGGATGATGGTTATCACGATCATGCTGGCACGGTCATGGTCATTGCTTGGGGTCAATTTATGGATCATGATTTTACACTAACGGGCACGCCATTGGGTGAGTTTGATGCTAATACCAATAAGTTGGTTTTTGTGCTAAAGTGTCGTTTTTTTCAGATCCCGTCAACCGTAATGATCCCGAAGAATGCTGCAAGCGCCCTTTGCATCTGAAGCATCCGTATTGTAATGAAATTCGTGTTCCTGACGATGATTACTTCTATCGGCTCTTCAATGTCAAGTGTATCGATTTCGTGCGTGCTTTCCCTTCGCCACGACCTGGGTGTAGATTGGGTGAGTAGCTTTCGTAAAGTTTATCGAAAGTATTGTATTGTAGTTAGAAATCGGGAAAGGGTTCAGTGTTAGTACCATAGAAACTCCGCAGAAGCATGCGGACAATACCTACCAATAGTCGCTCTTTAGCCTTGAAGCTGCATATCCGCTTTGAATTCGGCACAATCCCCTTCGGGAAGTCTTTTGCGACTCGTCTTCGAGTTGGAAGTGAATAAACCTCAAATTATTTCTTATCACAGTCCGCCTTGTACAGTTACTTCTTGAGATATTAAGAGAAGTGAATGAAACTGAGCCAAAAAGGATTCATGTGAAGTGTTTTTAGACTTTTCGATAAAGCTTAGCCGAAATTAAGCTTGTCTTAGATCTTTAGTTAAGGTCCCACATAGTTGAATGTTTCCTACACTTTGCTTTGGCCAAAAAAACATCTCAACGTTAAATGTGGACTTTGAAAAAATTCAATCTATATCTGAAATTTACTCTTCTTTCAGGCTCTCGTCAGCAATTCAACACTTTGACCGGAGTCATCGATGCGAACACCGTTTATGGAGTAACTGAGAAATTCGCGAGAAAACTTCGCACTGGCTATGGAGGTTTGATGCGTATGAACCCCGTCTTTCAAGAGTATGGCCTAAAAGACCTACTACCCCTCAAATTGGACATCCCTGACGAAGGTTGCACGCGTCCGAATAAGAGCATGTTCTGCTTTGAAGGCGGCGAGATACGTGTGAATGAACAGCTGGTGTTGACTTGCATGCATACGCTCATGGCGCGCGAACACAATCGTATAGCCACCGCGCTGGGACAAATCAACAAACATTGGGATGATGAAACGATATTCCAAGAGGCGCGACGTATCAATATCGCCATTGTGCAACACATCACCTACAATGAGTTCTTGCCGATATTGTTGGGTAAAGAGGTGATGGAGAAATTCGGTTTGGTGCTACAGAAGGACGGTTACTGGGATGGCTATGATCCCAAGGTGAATCCTGGCATAATAGATGCTTTCGCTGGTGCCGCTTTCCGTTTCGGGCACTCACTGTTACCCACAGCTGTGGAACGTTGGTCGAAGGCGCACAAATTTATAGCGTCCAAACGTCTGTCGGATTTAATTCGTCGGCCGTACGATTTGTATCGCGCTGGTGTGCTGGATGAATACTTTATGGGTTTGATGAATCAGGTGGCGCAAGCTATGGATGACTCCATCACACAGGAGGTGACAAATCATTTGTTTAAGAAGGAAGGCCAACGTTTCGGCTTGGATTTGGTAGCATTCAATATGCAGCGTGGACGTGAGTTCGGTCTGCCGGGTTATATGGAGTTCAGAAAGTTCTGTGGGCTGCCAACGTCATCGGCATGGGAAGAAATGTTCGGCTCTATGCCAAATGATACGATTGTGCGTTACGAGAGCATATTTGAGTGAGTAGTGGGGTGAATGAATTATGTTGGAGCCAAAAGTTATTTTAATTATCAAATGTTTACAGACATCCTGCCGATATTGATTTGTGGTCAGGTGGTGTTTCCGAAAAACCCTTGCCCGGCTCCATGCTGGGTCCGACCTTCGCTTGTGTTATTGCCACTCAAATGAGTTACACACGCCGCGGTGATCGCTTCTGGTATGAACTATCCAATCAGCCGTCCTCCTTCACACCCGAACAGTTGCAAGAGCTGCGTAAGGCGAAACTGTCACGTCTGATCTGTGACAACACTGATCTTATCGATACTGTACAAATTTACCCAATGGTCTTGCCAGATCATGAAATGTGAGTTAAAAGCATTGGCTAAATTTATATACATACATAAAAAACAAAAAATTATAAATTTTTAAGTAATCCACGTGTGCCATGCAAGAGCGGTATTATTCCATCAATAGACTTGACGAAGTGGGCGGATTACTCCAGTCCCGAAGTGGGACATCATCAGCCAGTTTACGTAAGTGGTCATTAGAGACTGATCGATAAATACATATTTTTTATTTATATTTCAATAGAAAGGCGATTAGCTAATTTCTCAAAATTAATTAATGGTAAATTATTTAATAGGCTAAATTATTTCGAGCTCAATTTTTATATTTTATGCCTTTCAAAAAATATTAACTTCTTTCATGATTAAAAAAATATACTTATAAAATACCTTTTAAAAACAAACTAAAAAACTTGATCGAAATTACTCAGATCACAATAGTTTTTGACTTAATCAACTTAAAGCTGTCACTGTGAACGCACCTTTAATCCGATTGTCAAATTTTAAAGTTTGAAATATTCAGTAAAGTCCGCATTTTCATTATGGTGAAGTAAACGTATGAACAAGGATAAAGACATGATTAAATAATAAACAGTAAGAGCTTAGAAAGAGACTTTGGCACTGCCCTAGCTCAAGGTTGCATTGTCCCGCGCCTTGTAGGCAAGCAATTCATAGTCTAGTGAACGAAGTCAACATATTCTCTACTTGAAGTTCCCAGTTCTTGCCAGTTAGACAACATTTTGCCCAAATTGTAGAGAATATCGTTTGTCACAAACGAGCCAAAAGAGTAAATTTCACAGCGTTTTCAGAATTATGCCTCTGTCTGACAAATTTCGCGTAAAGACCTTGGCGTACACCAAGTGAAGCGACGTACATGACTGAAGGAAATGAAGACTTTCATAGCAAATCACATTCAGAGGGAAAACGCCTTCGCAAATAAGTAAAATATGCAATACTGGACCGATTTTTGTCGATAAAAATGACCGTCTCTTTACGGTGACATGTTGGAACGTTATTTTTATTTATTTATTTATTAATTTTTTTAATTATTTATTGGACATCAGTGATATGTGACTTCAACAAGACGATGCTACAAGCCATACATCGGGTGTGAGAATCGAGTTATTGAACGTGTAATCTCGAGAATAGACCGCCAAGATCGTGTAACTGAACGCCTGTAGACTTTTTTCTGGGGCTTCATAAAATCATTGTTATTTGCCAACAAGCGACATTAGAAGAGCTCAGAGCTAATATTGTTAGCGGCTGTATCTGTCGAAAAGTGTGGCCTAGTAGTTGTTGGAAATTGTGTTCATCTGTTAATAATTAACATAAAACACAGCATCTCATTTAGTTTAAAAACGAAAAAAAATTAATTTTGACAACTGCTTTAACGATAACATTCTCAAACGTTTCAACCGAATATATTGATATTTTTTTGACAAACGTGATTTTTATCGTTACGATGTACTCTTGATTTTAACTTATTACTTGATTTAATTTCAATTCACTTCTTTAATTTAATTAATTTTATTTTATTTGTTTTTTACTTTTTAAATATAGTTTATTTTTCTTTTAATTTATTTCAATTAATTTTTTATTTCAATTTCTCTTTTTAGATCATTTTATTTTATTTTATATATTTTATTGCTCTTTTTATTTATTTCATATTTCATTTATTTATTTTTCTTATATCAGTATCATATTTGGTTTTATTTTTAATTTAATAAAAATTATTATTATGATTTAGTTTTTTTAATATTAATTTTATTTAAAATTGTTGTAGTGTCTTTGATTTGATTGATATTTTCGTATTTCATATATTTTATTTTGTTTATACCATTTTATTTTAATTTATTTATTTTATTTTATTTTGTTTTNGTTAAATTAATAAAATTATATTTGATTTATAATTGTGTCATAATAGTTTTTTAATATCTTATGTTTATGATTGATTAGTTAGATTGCAGTTAATTAACAAAATCTCAGTTGTACATACTTATTTTACCTTATTTTACTCAATTTTATTACTTTTCATGTTATTTTTTAAGTTATGTTATTTTTTTTAATTTTTTCTTAGTTTATCTTCATTATTTTAATTTATATTAATTTACAATTAGTTATTTAATTTTATACCTATGTGATTTACATACCAAAATGTAGTTTTAATTTGTATTATTGTGCTTCATTTTTTAATTTACGTTTTGTTATTTTATGTCACTAATATTAAAAATTTGTATTCTCTATTGTTTTATTTTATTTGCTAATTTTATTTTCATTTTTTATCTTTTCAGAACTTCATCAACGAAATTCCTGATACATTGCTGAACTTTAAAAAGAAATAGACAATAAATACCGAACAGTACGCAGGTGATTGGCTGTAAGATGGAGTACGGGGACGAGCAAACTTTCCTCTTATTTGTTTTTAATTTTTCATTCTAGAAATGTAATAATAAGTATTAAAAAAAATTATTGTGCATTATGCCATTCATAAAAAAGATATTCTCAAACAAACATTTTTTCTTAGCGAATTCGCAATACCATTTTCGACAAAATAATTACTCACTATTACTTACATATACGTTTTTACATTTGTATTTCATCTTTCTAAGTCACTTTATTGTCTTCCGTTAGTAAGTAAGTGTCCTTTGTTGCTCTTCCTTTGGTTGCATTATTTTATTTGAACCATATAAAGATTTTTTTTAATCTTTTTTTATTTTTCAATTCTAAATTTTACCATAATTTTATGCCATGTGTTCATACATTAATTTAATAATTTTTCATTGACGTTGTTAAAATCGAAATCATTTGTCTATTCTTCAACATGTTTTTTCCATTTCTTTCGTATTCTTTCATAATTTCATATTGTACATATTTAAAAATAAATAGTGAAAATTAAGCTTATTTTGTATAAAATTTATTATTATTTTCAATTTCTGTATTTGAGAAGAGAAATTCAAAATAAATGAATTTGTTGTAATAATTATGCGCAAGAAATAAATAAATTTTTAAATACAAAAATAAAAAAGTTGAAATTTATTCGAATATATAATATACTCACTTGTATATTCTGATTGGTAAAAATAGATGTGCAATACTGGAAGAGAGAATGTTCGCTAGCACGCATTTGGTCTAGGGGTTCTAAAAAAGTTGCAAAGTAGATTCAAATAGCTTAAAAGTAATATTGAAAATGTATCTTTATCGCAATTGCACTTGATTAACTTAATTCCAATGGAACTTTCCTATAAAAAATTTTCGGTGGATCAGTTTGTGGTGAAAGAAAGTTATGTCATTTCACTCGGAGAAGTCGCAGAGGTCTGACCGTATTTTCGAAGAAAATATTTCAAACTATTTTTATAGTTTTGGATACTGGTAATGTCAGGATTCGAAGCGACGACACTCCTACAGCAATCAACAACTTACCAGCATAAAAAGGCCAAATTCTGTTATGTTTCAAAAAGGTTTTTTGAATAAAGCGTAGTGCATGGGTAATATTAGGTCTGGTATTGTGTGAATCTACTTTAACATTTATAACATGTTATTTTAAATTTTTCAGTTTTTATGTTACCGACTCTTTCATAGAAAACATTGCCCAAAAAACTGCTCCAACTGATTTTCACATGGCTTCTCTTGGTGCGAGGTTCGGATTATAAATTGGATCCATTAGAACCTACCAACCGAACTCTAGCAGCTTCTGTCGAGTCACTGTCGATGTGTGTCGTCTGGCGTTGTCCTGATGAAACACAATACCCCTGCTGTCGGTCAAAGCTGGACACTTTTGGGGAATTTCTAACTGTCCAATTATTAACACTTAAGGTACGAGGTAAGAACTTGGCCGTAAGCAGCACATAGTGTATAATTCTTAGCAGATTCCAACAAACACACAACAAATCTTTCCTGTCAGTCTATCCTGGATTGAAGACCAATTCTACTGACTCCCAGCCATTCGGTCACTACTTCATTACCAGTCACAATTTGCTCCGGAAATTTGGTACATTTTATTTTTTCTCGTTAACTCATTTGGCACCTTCATTTCGAACTTCTTTGTGTACTTAGCCTTTATCAAGTGGTTCCAAACTCTTGAGCAATCAAAACAGCGGCTGCATGACGGGCTGACTCTACCATAAATATAATTAAGTTTTTCACCTGCCCGACTAGTGCTTTCGCCTTATCGAAGAAAAATATCAAGGGGAAATTATCAAATATTGTAGCGAAGGGTGCGCGTCAGAAGAAGACAAATTCAAAGTAGCCTTCATTCACATAACCTAAGCCTATAGAGCTAACCAAGACTTTACGGTAATGAATTGATTCCTACTTCTTTATTTTTTTTATTTCTTATTATCTTTCAAATCATAGAGCTTGCGCCTATTGTTCTGGTATAAGCCTCCTCTATAAAGCTTAAAAAGTGTAAACCCATCGTCAACGAAGTGATCAGTGGACTTCAGGAATTGTAGATCTATCAGATATTCACAATGCGCCAATGTTTAAAAATGTACATCAGAAAACTATCGATATATGGATTTATAGCCGTCATCCATATCGCAAAATGAGCTGCCTATAAGTCGCTTAAATGCCTTTGAGCAGCCGAGTACCGTAAAGAATGAAGTCATCCTTTTGGCAACACTGGCTTAAACAGCTGACGCACTCCTCGTGTTTTGTATCTCTGTGAAACATCTTCAGTTTGGTCTATAATTAAACCAAGAAGCGTCTTACAAACAAACAACGTTTGCAAATTATTGAATTTTATTATCGAAATGCGTGCTCTGTTAAGCTCACTTTTGGCTTAATGGGTGCGTAAATAAGCAAATTATTCGATTTTGGAGTGTAGATCAGCCAGAAGCATTGCAAGAGCTACCAATGCATCCAGAAAAAGTCACAGTTTGGTGCGGTTTAGGGCTGTTGGCATCATTGGTTCGTACTTCTTCAAATATGATGCTAATCATAACGTAACTGTGAATGGGGAGAGGCTATCGTGAGATGATATCGAACTTCTTTTTGTCCAAAATGCAACAGCTGGACAAGACGGTGCCGCATGACACACAGCACGCGTAACAATGGACTTATTGAAAGGCGAGTTCGGTGAACATTTTATTGCACGTTCGGGATCGGATTCGGAATCCTAGATCGTGCGATTTAACGCCTTTGGATTATCTTCTGTGGGGCTATGTTAAACCTTATGTCTATACAGACAAGCCCAATCAAGCTTCATTGAACGCATGGGTGGACAACATTGAAGCATTTATTCGTGAGATACCGACCGAAATGTTGGGAAGAATATGTCGAAATTGCACTAAGCGGATGGACCATTTAAGCCACCGTCAACATTTGCATGAAATAATCTTCAAACATTAAATAACATGGACTGTACTTACGATTCAAATAGAGATTTCCTGCATTTTTCTGAATTTTATATGTTTTTATTTTTTTAAAACTTTCCTTTAGCTCTTAAAAAATCACCCTTTACTTGTTTACTCTAAGAGAAGAAATAACTTAAGTGTCATGCAATTGTTGACTCGGCTATAATCTCGTAAGCTGTGTATAGGCAATTAAATATTAAGAAAAATGAAAAGAAGAAGAAGAAGGGAAAGAGTTAGAAAAAGAGGAAGAAGAATAAGGAGAGGAAGAATAAGATCCCTTTTCGAAGATTAAAAATCGATTTGGTAGGAATATGATATTGGATAAAATACATTTAAAGCTCGCGCCAAAAAAAAAAAAACAACGGAGAACCTCATTCAAGTACACATATTTCAGAGTTGACATACAAAAATGTATGAAATAATTTTAGAGAAGAAGAGAGATGCGCACAAGAAGCTTTGAATTCACAAAGACAAGCGACATAAGAAAAATCCTTTTTAGCAGTTCGATCCAAATTATATAATTTTTATTTCTTGCACAACGGTTGAGATCGGAAGAGTTTTAGAAGTTCATGTTTGGTGGAAACCATTTTAATTTAGTGATTTGCAACTATTTAATCACATAATTTATAAGTACTCAAAGGAAGTGATGGTACTTTCGGATGATGATGGCAAATCGTAATCTAAGATTGTGCAGCAGGATAATTTTTAGTAGACTGCTGACTGTGTCGGCCTCTTGGATTAATTAGGGAAAACGAATATAAATATTTCTTTTACTAAAAAATATCATCACTGTGAGTACTCAACTTTTTGCAATTTGAAATTCACACACACACACACAAAAAAAATAAATAAACAAAAAAACCCTTGGAAGAAAAATATTTTTTTTAGATTTTTAGTTTTAAATGCATTTATTGTTATTATTATTCCGTTGCAAATTTTACAATACTTTTTTCCGACTAACGATTATACTATCTAAACACCTACACATACTTACATATGTTTAAATATAAAATAATAAAAATTCGTATGCATTTTAAAAATATGTAAATACGTATATAAATATAATACTACAATTAGTTTTATTAGGAACTTTTTTAGATACTGAATGAGTCAGCTGAGTATTTTTCTAGGTTGAGTTTAACCTGCGATGGCGAAGAGATTTGCATAAATGCCAAAAAGATGTGTTTATAACAACGCATAACGCACAAAGCAAGGCTATTGACATGAAAAGTTATAATGACATGCTTACGACGAGTATTTGGTGCGAGATGCGTCGCCAGCAAGCAGTGAGTGCCGCTGACACTGACCCAAATAAACTGTGTACGTCACGGCGTTGTGACGTCGGCGAAGAGCGGCAGAGCCAAAGTTCACAAATGAGTAGCGACTAGCAGGCTTACACTTAACACTAAATTCATAGATGCAAAAATACTGAATCCATCAAAGACATTTTCTTGAAAACCGTAAGTGGCGTGAGTGCAAATATCGTTGGCTTGAGATGATATTATAAACTTCGATTGGCGACTTAGACGACGAGCTTAATGAATTAACGAAGGCGGCGTTGAAATTTCATGTATGTTTGTATGTGTGGCTGAGTGTGCGCATGGGATTCATAGACAATCTTCAAACACTCTATTCAAGGGCATTCAGAAAGGGTGCAATGGAGCCGATGTCCTCACAGTCAGGTATGGCTTTACCCTTGAATTTGAGGCAGGATTCAGCGCAAGTCTGTCCTTGAAAGTAGTCACCGAACATTTTCTTGCATTGTGCGCAGTTGTTGAGGCAAATTTGTATGAAATCAATGCCGGACATGGTATCTGTTGGGGAGATGGGGAATATATAAGCAAAACTTAAAAAGTAATCAATCAATTGTTTGTACCCACCGAAGCGCTTGCCATAGTGTCCAATAGAAGGTAAGGCATCAGCGGCTGGGAGGAGCACACAGAGTAGTGCAACAGCGATGGCAGCAGCAAAAATAGTGAATTTTTTGGTAGCGTGCATTTTGGCTTTTGGAGGGTCTGCAAAGGTAAATTAAAAAATTATGTAATAAATTTGGTTTGAAGAAATATATGGGTGTTAATATAATTAATTTTTTTCTAAATATGGAAAAGTTGAGTTTCTACAACCAAAAAAAAAATACTCTAACTTTAATTGACCGAAATCATTATTTTAAAACAATAATTTTCTAGAAAACAAAAAATATTTTTCCAAATAATATTTAAACAAATGTTTGCATTTTCTATTTATTATCCTAAAATAAAATATAAAACAAAAGCTCTCCGCCTTACATTTTCGCTTAGTTTTTGATCAAAATGTGAAACCGCTAAAAATTGGGCGTTAAAAAGTTTTAAATCGAAATCCGCAATTTATTTACTGACTGACTGACTGCGTACTCAAGCGTCTTTCACACCTGCGCAGTGTTTAATTAAATAATTATAAAATCTGCTTTTCACGGGCTTTTTAATCTCTCACACGCATAAAAGCGATCTCACGATTGGCGCGCAGATTCAACGAGTTGTTGTTAAGAGCAGTTTTGTTTTGTTCACCCTGCTCATGCTAAATTGGCATAAGACAAAGCCGCAAGCCAAATTCATGTAAAAAAGGAAGAAAAGAAAACAAGAATTCACGTCACTTACCCAACGACGACAAAGAGAAAAAGCACCGCAGCGCAATCAATTGATATGGTTAAATGGTTGTGTGCGCAGGCGTGGTGTGACATTGCGCAGGCGCTAAGCTTGTACACGAACGATAAGCGTGTCATACGAGGATGTTGGGAGTCAGTTAGTTATCTTGGGAGACAACTAATACGACATATAATAGTGCATTCGATTTAACGTTCTCGAGAGACGTACTACACTATATTATTTAGGTTATTTTTAATCAACAATTTTATGCGATTTTTTATAGTAAAAATTGTAATTTTTTGTTCACCATTCCGCGAAAAAAAAACAAAATATCGTATAATTTCTATGTACATCTCTTGCTTTTGTTATATTGAATATAAAAAAAAATTGTTTTTTGATCCAGAACAAATATTAAAGATTTCGGCCATGGACACATTAGAAGGAAATGCACTTGTACGATAAAATCTTTGTTATTAAAACTCTTTCAGATTCGATTGATTCCTTTGTTAAGTCAAAAAAAAAATCCATAAAATATGCCCATTTTTTCGCGCTCTAGACCAGCTTCAATCCTTAAAGAATGACCATTTGTGATACGCTCAAGCGGCATCTCCAAAATCAATTATTCTTATTTCACAAAAAATCTGAAGTCTTCCAATTCTTTCATGGGTGTGCTCTTAACAGAAATAGTCTATGGCTGAAGATGTTTTTCCGAGTTGCTCCAACTTTTTTTTTGTCATCTTTGTATTCTATTCTCATTTGAGCTGCTCTTTGGTATTTTGGGTTTCTTCGAAATAATTGTATGTTCATTGAGCGTTTTTCAGGTAGAAAGGTTTTACTAAGTTACATTAGTTGGCTTCCTGCAAATGAAAAACTGAACTAGTTTTCAAGAAATCTAGTCAAATACTAGTATGTTAAGGTTTAATCATAGCAGCTCTCTGTTTGTTGGCAAATATCCAGCGGCTAGTCAGTAACAGAAATAACAAAGATTTCCACCAACACACCATGAACATGTAACATATCCGCGGTGTGTTAGAAATTAACATAACATAGCAGATGTTAATTTCTAACACACCGCGGATATGTTACATGTTCTGTTATGCACTCGCTGTAAGTCGCCAAGACGAGTGGTTGGCGACTGTGATTGCCGTACTTTTTATTTAAAGTTATATTTTTGGTAGAGTAGAGACTAGTAATTAACTAGTAAGACGCTGATGCAGAGTTGAACAATTGACAGCTTGTAGCAAAACATTTCCATCGAATTAATTAGTGTAAAAATTTTGGTTTTGTTTTAGTTAATAATTAGTATTTGCACCCACAGGATTTGTACACCATGCCATAGTCTTATTTATTGTTTGTAGTGACAGTTTAAAGTACAATTTAATTGGTGGCTAAGTAGTCGCCAAATAGAACGCTTTTGTGAAGTTCAAAAGCTGGGATGCCTTAAAACATTTAAGGCGTGTACTAGATAAGGCCCGACAACGCGAAAGACCGTGCTCTTGAGCGCCTGAAAAGCAACATTCGTAAATTTATTGCTGAGGTAACACACAATATGCGCCAGTGGGAGCTTAACTTGAACGTATGAAAGTTTGCAGAAATTCGAGAGCCTGTTATTTGCATAGTGCAGTATTTCAGATATAATGCAAAGGTTCGAACTTCACAATGAATAAGATAATTTCATGAAAAAATATTTTATTTACGTTTATTTTTAAAGCCGAAATTGATAATAAACCCTTTATAATCGCTTCTCAAGTTTGATTGAAAGCAAGCCATTCAAGGAAGTCGTGGTGGTGTTGGAATAATAGTCTTTTTCCCGTGAAACCCCATTAAACGGTTATCTGTTATTACACCCGTAGTTATGCTAATGGATAACTGGTCTAGAAAGGTAATATATTGAGATTTTTTAGCCTCCAATTTTGGTCATAGCTGTCTGTCTGTCACAGTGCATGTGATCTCATTCAACCACTTAATGTTTGCATTTTTGGAAAAGGCCAAGCTTAGCGTACATAAACTTTGCAGTGGCGAAGGTAAACCTTTATCCCTTTTAAGTTTGTCTGCCATGAAATAGTTTGCTTCTTTTTATAGCCACTTTTGATGTGGTACTGTTACTCTATAGAGATCTGATGGCTATTTAACTATCGAAATATAGCGTAACTGATAGTCCTGCTAGCGTAGAATTGAACAGTTACTCAGCATCTTCCGTGACTCTCTGCTTGGAAGACGCTGCAGTGGACTGGTAATTTTATGCTCATGTTTATTTAGGAACCTCTTTTTGAAGGAGCTTTGAGCCGTCTGTAAACAACGATTTGGCCCCTCTTTGGGAAACTTGTTTGAAGAGATTGTCGAGGCAATCCGTTAAGTTGTCCGTCCGTTGTTTATGTACTTATGTAGAATGGGCAGATCCATGATTTTTCCAAACTTCAAATATAAAGGATCTACATGTTTCTGGATTTGTAATTGCTAAAGTTATTCGAAAAAGCAGCTTAGTATGAATAAGCTATTTTTTGAGTTATGATATATAGTTGAATATAATATATTAGGACAAGTAAAAGGTTCGTTCGTTTTTTTATTTATTTTTTCAAAGTATGATAACTTTGTTGCCAACGAGATGCCATCTTCATTATACCCTTCTCGTAGAATTCTGCGTCCCTATTGGCAAAAAACTCGGAGAGCCAATTTTGTATCCGTCACATACTATGCGCAATAACGCCATCTCTTAGCTAAAAAAAGAACGAACTTTTTACTAGACAAATATCCTTTCAGTACTAACTATAAATAATAATTATAATTACATAAGTATGTATATAAATTGCAAAGCTTCAGTTACAAAACCTGCAGAGGTACGGTACTCTAGAAATATTTTAAGATCGGTCAATGAATTAGTATTGATAATAATGGCTATTGCTTCAAAACTTCCCTACCTAGGAGCTGGTAAGAATTCGCCTTGACTCTTACACATTACCGTTTTCTACGTATACTGCTCAAATAAATAAATATATATATATGTAATGTAGTAACTGAAATGTTTCACTCGAACTGAATTATTATAAAATTTGACACGACGACGCAAAGTAAAATGTTTGTGTACATAAAAGGTGAGGGGAAGTCCTGTGTGCCTGCTCTTCCAATTTGATTGTGCGGCCACACCGTTGCTCCGTTGCCCAGTTGCCAATAAAGAGTACAATGTCCTTTGTTTTTGTTTTGACTACTGTGCATTTTCATTACAGTATTAACATTTTTGTGTTCTCAGCTGTTAGTTAAAATGCCTCAATATTTTTTAGTTATAAAGAAATCAAAGAGAAAGAGTAGCAAACCATTTGAGCAGAGATCAATTGCTGTGAACAGTGCATTTGTGGAACAGTGGCATATAAATGATTGACTTATGTGGGAACCACTTGCAATGGCATTCGCTAAATAAACGACACTAATTAATACATACACATACAACTATTAACGGAAAAGAAATTGCTTGAAGATCTTTAATATCGATAATCATATAATTCACTTCCATAATTTGGTACTTTTTCTTTCTCTTAGAGGAAATAAATACCTCTCATTGATAAGGAAGTGTTTTGCGCAAAAACAAAAACTTAAAAAAAACACTTCAACGTCCGATGTCCGTAAACATGCAGTATTTATGGAATATTTTCTAAAAGTGTTAAAGTGGCATATTCTGCGCATCGAGCAGTTCGAGTAGTTGGAGGGAATTTACCCACAAAGAAACAAGTAAAGAATTGTGAATAAGAAATACCAGTAAATAAGCGCATTTTTATCAATATTCTATAGTGCCAAGCAACATTATCTCTGTCTGTCAGTTGTCTACACGTAGTACTTGTATGTGTGTGTATGTACCAAGTGGCTGAGCGTGTGTTTAACGCAGTAGCAGTCAGCAATTGAAAGCGAACCGGCAATTAAACAGGAAGTGCGAAAATGCCGGCAACAAATTGACAGCGTCTTGTTGCCAATTTAATTTATTGTACATACAACTATATATACAGGTACAATAGCACTTACATATGTTTATAACTATTTATGTATTTATATATGTATGTACATATTGATGTGTGTGCTTCAGCCAGATTTCTGCTTGCTCTTAACTATTCTTTCAAAAAAATATTTGCATACTCAAGATAAACATGTGTGTTTGTATGTGTATAAGTGTGCACGAGTGGATGTACATATATACTCGTAAGCAACTGCTTATCTCGGCGCTGCGATCGCTAAACGCTTGGTCTTTAGTCGGCTTGACGAAGATACGCATGCCTCCAGGGCATTTTTTTCTCACTTAATGTACTGCGGTGCGCGTACATGATTACGTATAAATTGACACAATAACAATATTCTTCACATGTATTTATATATGGTTGCATACATACGTATCGTTTTGTTTGAGTGGGGCGCTTGAGGCAATTTAAGAGGCGCGTCATAGCAATTTAAGCATTAATTAAGTTGCTTCTCAGCAAGCGAATATATTCACAGCTACACACACATACAGAAGTATGTAAGCACGAGCGCCTTTTGTCTAGAATTTTAATTTAATTTTTTTGTTCAGTAAAATGGTAAGCTAAATATTTTAGCGTATGAATCATTGACCATAAGCACACACATTTACATATAATTAAACTTTTGAAGCAGACTTTACTATTTTTATACTACATAGGTGTATGTATGTAAGCGGCAATGTATTTATATCAATATTTTCGTGTGAATGATCGGCTGAATACCATTTTCTTATTTATGCGCATTTAATTGGCACATTTATTTGTTTCAATTCAAATAATTAACGAATCACAGTACAAAACGTGTTTCATTTCAAGCAGGTTTTATGAGATTGATTTTTTTTTTTGTTATAAATATAATTAAGTTACTTGTATAATTTTATATATTTGACGTATATTTGTGCTGTAAAAATTTTTGTTATACTCATATATGTAAAGAGTGAACAATATATCGTTTGTTTTTTGAAGAGAGTAAGCACTAAATTCGGGCAAAATAACTCGCCTTCCATGCAGTTTTTGTATTGTTTTGTGCAGCGAGTTTGGTAAAACTATTCGTTAAAGGGACAAACCAACTCGTGCACGTTAAAAAGGAAATATTGCTGCTTTAGCTCAACAGGGATGACGTTTAATAGATTGTGCCAATTTGAGTCGTTGTTAGCTTGCACGTCATATTCTCGTATATTTTTGCAAAAGAAAATATTCACTACGCATATTTTGAAAGAAATTATTAAAATAAAAGGATTTTGGGGCAATTTATGAAACTGGAACAAATTTGAAAATTTTTTTCTTTGTTTTTTATTTGGTTTAGGAGTAATATCCGGTGAACTGAAAAAGGAAATAATTTTTTTATTATTAAATTAACCGAATTAAAAATTTTTTTTAATTGCAAGCTTTTTTTGGTACAACTTTCTTTGAAAAATTTTTTATTTTTATATAAATTCTAGTCTAAAAAAAATATGTACTTTTAAATTTATTGAAATCCAATCCACAGATTCCATTAAAAAAGAATTATTAATTATTAAACCCAAAAGTTCAATAGCAAACCCCTCAACCAACCTACAAAGGGTCACGCCCGAAGAATATTTTTGAAAAATCTAGCATACCGGTGATCGAAAAGCAGTGATCGGACTGCGCTGAAGCCGAGACCACTCGCCTTTTACATTACACAACTACATATTTGCTAAAAGCTGAAACTACTTATTTGTTGGGTGTATGCATTAATTCGTGCGTTTTTTTCTTTCGAAAATTAAGACTTTATTGTGAAAAAATTATGCATTTAATGTTCAAAGTATTGCTCATCGGAAGCTACGATGTTTGCCCATCTTTCTGGCAGTTTGTGGAACTCATCCCAAAAGAACTTCTCCGGCTTGGAGATTAAGAAAGAATCGAGCCAATTTCTGATACCCTGTGCTGAAGTGAAGCGTACTCCGATGAAAGCATGCTGCATTGATCTGTACAAGTGGGTAATCGGAAAGTGCTATGCCTGCGCTAAAAGGCGGGTGAGGTAGAACTTCTCAGCCACAGATTTCCAAACAGTTTTTAACTGGACTTGCAACATATGACCGAGCGTTGTTATGATGAAAAATTACTGATTCGTGTCTGGTCGCATATTCTGGTCGTTTTTCCGTGATGAGTTTTTTTAAATGAATCACGAAACGGTATAGATCCCCATTGATCGTCTGACGCGATTTCAATAGCTCATAATAGAACACATTCTTTTGATTCCACCAAATACATAGCATAACCTTGGCACCATGGACATTCGACTTTGCCCTGGATGTCGATGGTTGGCCGGGCTTCACATACGATCTCTTGCGCTTTGGGTTATCATAATGAATCCGTTTTTCATCGCCACTGAGAAACAGATGTAAAAATGAATTCTTTTGATGGCGTTGGTGCAACATTTCCGACATGCAGAATCGACGTTCGACGTCTCCTGGCTTCAATTCATAAGGCACCCGATTTCAAAGCTTCTGAATGAATCCGAATGATTTTAATCGTCTGGAAACGGTTGCTTGATCAACTCCTATTACTTTTGTAAGTTCTTCCTACGTCTGGCATGCATCTGCGTCGAGCAATGTCTCCAATTCTTCGTCTTGAATTTTTTTTTTGGCTGTCTGGGTCGTTCTCCGTCGTCTAAGTCGAACCGTGCAAACCACTTTTGGTGCGTTCGTTCGGCCACAGCATGGTCACCATAAACGTCCAGTAAACTACGATGGCTTTCAGTAGCACTTTTCTTCATGTTAAAGCAATGAAGAAGAACTCCCCGCAAAAACACTTTATCTGGTTCAAATTTCGATATTTTCAAATAAATGAAACAAATTGTCTCTGAACACGACGTGAAATAACAGTACCTTTGAAATGAATATAGCCACAGATGAACACGACACGAAATAATACTAGTCCTAGTCTAATACTACTCTCTTAGAGAACCGCAGGAATTAATGCATACACCAAAGAACTTAGTAAGTAGTTTTTGATGTAGAAAAGAGCGTAGGAGGAACCCGTGCTAACGGAATGAGTATTAATATCAATGATCATAATAACAGTGGTCTAAAGTATCTGAAAGAGATGGTAAAGTTTAACTCTATGTATGAGTGGGCTATTGATAATATGAACTATGGGAAGATTAATGAGCCATTGACGGCTTTTTAAGCAGGGAGATTGTCACTCGCATCCTAGTTTAAATTTCTTAACGCGAATAGAAGGATATTACTGAGCCTCATTCCATAACTGCCCTAGCAAGTGAACTTCTTAGTCCAACGTTTGAGGAAAGCTAAAATGTATTTTGCTTTAATAGCCCAAGAATTGAAAAAAAAAAATTTAAATCTATCTTAGGGTCCAATGTGTCACCTAAGTCAATGGAGTCAATAACATGTCAGTGACATCACTTAAATAAATTATTTAGATCAAGTTGCAAAAGCTCTCCATTTTCAATGGAACGAGCTGACTTAATGTCTACATGAGAGAGAACCAAATTTGGAAGGTCAGTGATGAGTATAAAGACGAGTAAGAGGCCGCGATAGCCGACTGGTTAGGCGAGGATCCGAGTCCTGGTTCGACCAACATCCAGAAATTATAGAAAATTACTTTTTTTTATTGCAATAGCCCCTCGGCAGCAAGTCAAACCATCTATTTGCAAATCTGCTTTAAGATAACAGCCTAGCGCGGTTATTCACCGTTCACCCAAGTGAGTAAGTAGTAAATGAAGGAGATAGATTGTCGTAAGTGGTCGAACAGTTGTCAACAAGATTTCACACAAAGACCTGAGTATGAAGACTTATAAGGTCCAATTGCTGCAAGGAGTGAAATCACAAGTTCATCCAAAGGGAATGTGATTCAAGCAATGGGCTGAAGCCCCCTTGGCAAAAGTGAGAATTTTTACCGAAGAATCATATTTTCCGATGAAGCACATTGTTGGTTAGTTTTTTCTTCGCAAACTAGGGATAACCTGCCGTTATTGTCAATGCCGTTTTTTATGGTGTCATGCTGAGAAATTATCTTTTTTCAAATCCACTGAAGTGATAACACTACGACACCAAATATTGGGGCATCTCATTTTGAGGTATTTTTAGCACGTGCTTCGTCGTCGGTCACCTGATTTTACATAATCGGTCACTTGGTTTTCCATTCACAAGTTTAAGTCAGCACACTTCCAAATATAAACAACACCAAAAATACAAAACACACCATTATAATCAACTGTACAAGTGTTTGTTTATAAAATTTACTCTTTTTTCGGCATTTTGGGCTGGTAAAAATAGCAATGATTGCAACTCTGACGTCAGTACCGCAAATGTCGCTGCGAACGGCTTTCGCTGTTACCGATTTTATACGAAATTCAAATTCGAATTCACAGGTTGTGTTTTCTTGTTGTTTGTTTTGTTTGTTTGAAGATACTTTTTTTTACTTACTTATTTGATTTCAGCGGAATTAACCACAAAATATATGTTATTTGTTGCAATTTGGAGTAAAATGCTAACAAGTGTTTGATAAAATCTCGTTCCGACGACTGTTGTCATTGTCAGCCAAATCAACTGGTATTTATACCAAAATCTCAACAATTCGAAAAAATGGAATGGAATGTAACTTAATTGTATATTACGAGAGATTTTATCTATCACTGGCGGAGATGCACTCGAATTTGCGTTGGTCAATTGCCCTCATTTCCGTTTGGAATACCAACGATAAAGGGTTGCACTTTGCCTAAGTGAAATTCACGGCAGGAGGCAGAGGGTATACTGGGCTGGGCTGGGAGCGCCTGAGTTGTTAGCTGAAATATGTTTAATAGAAATTTTAACCAACTGATTGATGTAAAAAATATATTTTTTCAAGTATTAAATATATATATAATACATAAGCTGAAATACTCGTAACTCTGTCAGAATTTAATAAAAAAATAATAAATAAATTTTCCCGGTCTAACATCCACCGACTCCAATATTTCAATACTACTTTTGTAAAGGGTGTCTTTTTAGATATGTGGCCTTCAAGAAGAAATAAAATGCATATAATCTGATGTTATCGCTAAAGCTAAATGCTTTATTTGCAATTATGTTTTAAAAATCAATTCGGGTAAGTGACCCCGTTGAGTTGAGTTGATGCGGCTGCTGGTTAAACTCCAGCACACATAGGCCAATAGGCCCATTGCGATACTGCTGAGGCTCCTGCCTTTACCTTCTCAAATGATCCAACCATTTCGTGTGTCTTATGAAGGTAACGAGATTTCCAATGTTCACTGAGGCCAACTCAGCCGAAGAAGTGTTTTCCAAGAAACTTGTGTCGCGCGGATGTTAAGGCATAACAGAGGAAGAGGTAGTGTTCGATGGCCTTCTCCTCTTCTTCTTTCCTACAGCCACGGCAGATATCGTTAGAGTATCGATTATCTGGTCACGTTATACGTGATCTCGTTCAACCACCGTGAGTCAGTTTCCCTGGGAAAGGCCAGCTTAAGTATGTACTTAGCCGTGGATAGAGGTAAACCAGCATCATGTGAGTGTTCTATCGTAGATGGAAGAGTTTCTTCTACTGCGAGTTCGTCTGCCATGCAATTGCCTGGGCTGTCCCTGTGCACAGGTACCCATACTACGGAAAAACTGTACTTCGTTGAGAGTTTGTTGAGAATGTTTCTACAGTTTATGGCCACTTTTAAGGTGGTACCGTTAAATTGAAGAGTTCTGATTGCAACCAGGCCATCAAAGTAGATTGTTGCTGAAATGACCCCGTGGCTGGTTCGAATAAATTCCAGCCGAGAGGCCCAATTTTCCACCACGCCGAATATTCTCTTCCAAGACGTCCATCGTCTTGGTCTTACCTGCGTTTATAAGCGACTTCACATTTGTTAGCAAAAAATAGTCCAGAAGTGTTAAATTGCACGATCTTAAAAGCTCAGCCACAGAACTACGATGGGAAACAGTTCATAAAACTAATGACGAAGGTTTGATGTGGATAAGCTGCAATTACAAAGGACAGCCGAGCGTTTTTCTAAATACTTAAATGTACATCTGATTTCAGAGAGCATTCTTCAGTAACTTGATTTAAGACGGAATGGCATCTCGAAATTTCTACGTTCCGCCCCTATAGAAACAACTCGTTTTCGATAGACCCAGAAAGAGCTGGCACGATGAGGAATGTCGAACTGCCTTCTTTGCCACTTTGCCGTTGACTACAACACTTGGGTTAGATACTGATAGAGACGAGGGCTGAAGAGCAAAGCAAGACGTATTTGCAGACAAAAAAATTGGCATGTTCGAATAGCCATTTCCCGATTACAAAGCAAAAAAGTGGATGGAGTCGAGCGGATGACTTAAATGCAGAGCTTTTCAAAAATGGTGGCGGAGAACCGATATAGTATATGAATTAGCTTCTTTGTAGAATTTTGCCGGACGAACTAAACCAATCAAACTAAAAGGCATAGAAATCAATCTCTATATCTCGGGATCTCGATATCTCAACTGAAGCCAAAATATGGCGAAGAAGTCAAAAAAAGTTGTCACTTTGCGCGTTAAGCATTCAAAAGATGGGGCTTAAGTCCTTAAGCCTTATTGTTCAATGGACTTATACAGTGGTACTCTATTTTATGTCACTGTATTGTGGTCCGCACTAAAAAAAGCACTTTCAGGAACAAACTTGGTACAGTTCAGCGGTGGACAGGTATTTTCATAATGGTGGCCCTACCATCGACTTCATAAAAAGGATTGGAAACTCTTCTCAATTTTCTTTACCGGAATTTGTACTTCAAGCCTTGGACGTATAGAGCTGCAGGGCGCGCCCGGATTTTGTCTTCTGCACAGTTTCCAGCAGAGTTATACTATGCTATCTCCACTTACTGTTGCAATAAGAATCCCGAACGGAAATGAATGGGGAAAAGCAAATGCTCTTGATCAGAGTGGCAAAGCCATCTTCTTAAGTACCAAACGAGGTTTTGGACAGGGTGACTTTTTATCATGAAATTGCCTAAATTTGAAGCTGTAGAGAATAGTATGAGCTGCTGAGTGAAATATAAAAAGTACAACCATCTTTTACAAGAGTGCAAAACGGCCAGCATATGCAAATGTGTTGGACATCTTTCCGAATTTTCGAAGGTAAAAGAGATAGATTTTAAGAAAAATGTATGATCCTTCCCGCTTCGGCAATGGCGAATACCGCAGACGATGGAACTATTACAAAGACGGGTTATACGATGATGAAACTCGCCCACCAAATCGAATTCAAGAAGATGAAGAGTTGACTGGATTTGCTCAATCTACATCTCACAAATTTAGAGGTCACGCAACCCTGATCTCGCGATGATACCTATGTTGGTTCTGTGAAGAAAATTCCTCTCACTTTTCCATATGCTCAAACCAAATGATGCCCAGAGATGCAAGCCCTGCTATAGCAATACAAGACGAATCGATAACAGACTGCACTGAGAGCCGAACAGTAGCAGAAAAGTCGCTTGAAAAACAGTCTATCCTTCTAGCATAAGCCTGCTTAACACTGTTTCCGATTAATACCCCGATTGTTATACTTGTGGAGGTCTTGTTTAGAAGGTGTAAGGACTAAGTTTTGTTCACTTCGATCATTTGTACATGGTTTAACTATGTCATCTTCACTTGGCTCTGCTTGTGAAGGCTAATCTTAACAAATACTAGCCGAGGAAAGAGGTATGTCTACGACATGTTCAGAGTTTACCGGAGATATCTAGCAAATCCTTTTCTCACATCTGCCGTCTAAAAAACGGCTAAAAACAAATGTTTTAATGGATGTACGTTATAAAGATAGATAAGTGTCATCAATATTGCTGCATCTGCTTTGAAAATCACACTAAAAATATTTAAAAAATCTCCAAGTTGAAAATTTCTTAAGTGATGTTTAGTGTCAAAAATTTCGAAGTGAAACTACCTATACTTTGGACTTGTAAGGATTAAAAGAAACAATTTTCGATAAAAATGATAACTATCATTAAATTTTCCAACAAAAGAAATGCAAACAATTGGTTTTTTTTTTTCAAAATATAAAGCTTAGATATATTACAATATATCAAAAATCTTTTATCTTAAAAAATTTTTGTTTAATTGATTTTTAGTAATTTAGAATATGGTAAATTTTTTATGTACAGAAGAAGGGAGTACTTTTTAGATATACTTGCTTGAATCAAGAAAAAGTCAACATAAAAAGCGCTTTAGAGCGGAAACATTTTTTGCGTGACATCTGCTGGTAGATTACAGAAGCACAACTTTTGCTAAAGTTGGAAAAGTCACATTTGTACGTACATACAGAGAGCTTAACTGGTTTTGGTTTTGACTATTGAAGTAATGCAACTGGCTAACTGCGTTCAGCATTGGAAAGTTTTAGCTAAAATCGATTGCATTCCATTCCGTATACATACATATATACATTTATGTGTTGTGAAAGCTCAGGGACATATGCATGGTGTCCTCTAAGTTTCTTACTCATAAGCTGACACAAATAAATAATAATTGGGGAAGTATGCCGGTTGTGGGCTTAGTCTCTTGGAGCTCATAATATTGGTTTCGTAGAAGCAATCCATTTTTTCTTTTAAATTGAATGATTTATTAGAAATTGCCAGCTCTGTTCGATCGATTTTCACTGGCTTCTCTTGAGGTAATTTCTTCACCAGCCATATCCGGACTATAAGGTGGATGCATAAGTACCTCCCAAAAAAGCTCTTAGTTTCTCTGGCGAGAAGCTATTGATGTGTGTGCTCTGTCGTTGTCCTAATGAAACACAATTCTCTTCCTGTTGGCCAAAGCTGGGCGCTTCAGTTTGGTGTTAGAGGAGCTACTCATATGGGATAATTTCTAGTCAACACCACCAAACACACAGCAGAACCTCTCCGACCGTCAATCCTGGCTTGGATACCATTTGTGCTAGCTCACTGTAATTGGAATATAACCATTTTCATTTGATATTGCTGTAAGTGATGCGTTTTTCATTACCAGCCACAAGTCATCGTGTTCCTCAGATGGAAATAACTTATGATAGTTTTTTCTCGTCACCACGTGGGGCACCTATACGTCGAGCTTTCTTGTGCATCCAGCTTTTTCAAGTGGTTTGAAACTGCTTAGCAGTTTTTCAGCAATCGATACCTCCACGGTCGATAAAATAATGGATATGGTCGCATCCGACCGTCATTAGAGCATTGCTTCTTTGCAAATAAGGCGTTCAATTTAATGCAAAAATATTGGGTAACTTTTCCTAGGCCTAATACTCGACCAAATTCTTATGTGTGTATACCAAAGGAAAGCTAGGCCCTTGAGTTTTTAGTGAATGAATTAGACTGACTCCATTAAATTAGCTTTAGTGAGGCAAACATTTTTGGCAAAAAAAATAAAAAATAAAATAAAAATTTACTTGGTTATGGACACTCTTGGAAAATTTGCTTTTATTACTCTTAAAAGTTACGTCCCACTCTCTTCATCTTCGGAATCGGTAGCACAATTCTTGCATGTACAGTAGCTGGCATGCATGTCAAATGTACCAGAAATCTAC